TATGTTTCCAAATATCATTGTATCTCCATGATATAGACTTAATATATATTCATAATGGAACGTGAGACATGTTAGATATTTGATTGAGATAAAGGATCTCGGAAAACTCGGGTCTATTTTGAAATTAAACACCGAGTTGGTAGAATATTAATTCACCAGTTGCATATATCCAAAAGAGTTCTCAGGAAAATTAACATGGATAAATGTAAACTATTAGCACTCCCATGATCGGTCGAAATATGGATACTAGAAAAGATCCATTACTGAAAAGTTATTGGGAGAAGAAATTCCCTATGTAGGTGCAATATGCGCATGATTGTACTTTGACAAACACATTCGACCAAATATTACATTCTCAATAACGTGTTAGCTAAAAATAGCTCAGGGCAACATATCGTATATCGTCATTGGAATGATATCAAGAATGTACTTTGATATCTATATGAAACCATTTGTGTAATCTTTATTCATCCCTTATGAATTAAATGAAATGATTGATGATAATTTCCTAAAGGAAATTGAAATGTCAAATTAAAAGTGTCATTCTAACACAAAGTAATGTGATTTGAGTTTTACCGATGTTGGATATCCCCTTACCTTACTGATATTTTCTTAATGAGTTTATATTTATCATGAAAAAAACCATGATGTTATGTACAGAATACCTTGATACAAGTATATATCAAGTAAATGTTGGATTCTTATTGATGTGTTGCACTCGGGGGGATTCCTTGCACACTTATTTATCATCAGTTATATTGGTGCGTTGTACCCTTTTTCCGTTTTGACCAAGGTTTATTTTTTCCATTGGGTTTTGTTGCTTGATAGAGGTTTTGACGAGACAACAAGACAGATACCAAATTCTATCTACAACTCAGCACAAGGGAGAGTGTTGAAGAAAAATCTATGTAGTGTGTTATCGTTTATATCGAATATGCATTAGTGTTGTTCTATGTAAACTATGTATTCTGGGCCTGTTGGCCCGTAGTTGTAAACCCTATTCTATCGCTATTAACAGGGGCGAAGCCAGGATACGACGAAGAGGGGGGCCGGGTAAAATAAAAAATAGTAAAATTTCAAATAAAATATGAAGTTAACATTGAATGATACATTGATATTCATCTAAAACATATGATAAAATGTTGTGCGAGTTAAAATTTAGAAGGTCACTCTTGCGTGTTACACAAATTGTCAATTAGAGAGCCCACACTAATTTTTTAACGATTTGCATTCGATTTTTTTGACCTTTAAAGACAATGCTACTACTCACTAAAAAAAGTGGGGGGGCCTTGCCTCCCTGGAGTGAAAGCATACCTCCGCCCCTGCCTATTAATAGGGGCGTTCGGTAATGAAACAACACACACAATTCTCCCTACAACATGAAAATGTTTGTTTTTAGTGCATATTCAGTATATCCCCTCTTCCCATTTGTTGAATACTATACGTAATATTTTTAAGAGGCTATTGAGATTTTCTTGCAACTCAAGAATGAATAAATAGAAAGCATGTATATTGAATCCTTTAATTCTAAAGTCAATACACTTGCAACTTTTAGTTTTTAATAGGTTGTTCTCGTTCATTGTTTGTCATGATGAGGTCAACCTTTTCAACTAACGGTGGACAAATACAACGCTTAATCATTGGATCACATGTGCAAACTACTGGATTGCATTCAGTGTTATTCTGGCATTTTGTGGCCACGTTCCTTGCTTCACAGATCGGCAATGCACCTGCATTCACAAACACACACAATTAAATACGTGACAAAATATATATTACTTAGTAATATATTAGGACATTTAAATATTTAATATGAAAACTCTATGTTTTCATTTTTATGAGATGATGACTATATACTAATGAAGTGTTTTTTTATATGAGCTCATTTGATACTCTTCTACTTGTCAACTATTATGAATATTTTCGAGTAATATATTGGCGGAACATTAATTTTGAACGTTTTATGTAGTCATATCATTCTTTGTAGTCTCATTTGATACTTATATTCATTAATAGTTACAATATCAATTAGACACTACATTTCAATATATTTCATTCTTAATAATATACATTAAGATACAAAGAATATGATTTGAATGTTAAAACAAATGTCGTGGCTCTATTGGTCTTCTGCAATCACTACTTGCGTTTCTCAAAAGTTACATTTCTATTAACTTTCGATATAGTGATAGACGTACGTAGTACATGGCAAACAAGTATATGTTGCATTTAATTGTCATATATTTATATCATTCACTAGCTAATTCAATTTTTTGCTAAAAGTGTCTATGTTAGGTACATGCGAATACATGAATAATTAAGCTTCACATTTGACACATGGGATGATTCATCACAAAATTCAATAGAAAGTATGTGAAATGTATCAATGATATACGAGTTTATGTTGGAGTGGGCTAAAAATTATTTTACCAGGCAGGGGCGTAGCTAGGGGAGGGCCAATCCTGGCCCTGGCCCAACCCAATTTTTAAAAATGTCTATATTTTTAGTGTAAAAAATTACATGTATTTTTTCAAAATCATTCTTTGTACTGGTGTAGTCTGACTTAGTGCTCCGGCTCCGCCCCTGATACCAGGATTAGAGCAATAGTGCGGTGGGTTAAATAAGAAAGACGAAAAAGGTTTACACTAAAAAAAATAAGAAAAAATACTTTGTCCTCGACTTAGCCACCATCATCCTAACATAGATTCACGTAACATATAGAGAAAAGTGGCGGGGCTTAAAGTTTTACAAATCTTGTGGGATGAAAATACCAAACTATATAAAGGCAATCTTGAAATTTAAAAGTGAGCACTCTTTAACGGGACGATATAAAACATGGCGAAAACATGCGGAATAAAATACTATAAATAGGTCTGAAAAATCTCACACACAGATATATCGATATGTGCATATCTTTGTGTATAAAAAGAATTGACTTACAAAATTGGAGCATCATGAAAAGAACTAGAATAGACAATGAGATTTCGGATGCCATGACTAGATTACTCTATCTCCCAGAATAGTTTTGCGTGAATATTTTGACATTACCACGTCTTATTTATAACATAGCTTTTTTCCCGTACTAAGAACCTAACATATATAAATTTAGTGGCAAGAATTGTTTTGGATTTCATATCACTCAATGTCTTCCTAAATTTGGAATGGACGAATCTGGAAATTATTTAATCATTTCACAATACAATTAAAATTGAAATACTCTGTACATTAATTATGAGACTTGTAGCATGAAGCATTGAAAGCGTTAGAGTTGTTTATCCAAAAATGGACGCTTGTAGGCTTTTAGAAAAGTTCCGATAGAACAATCAAGCAAGAATTACAAAAGTATTACGAGAATGGAAAGCTGCTAAGGACATTTATTTTCCAAAAATAGCATATCTCTAATTTGAATTACAACCTTTGTTTTATAGGCGTATAAAAATTATAAATGCTATCAATAATAATGACTAATTAAATAGAACATTATTTGGCAAGTCGGCCTGGCTAGCAGGCATGACGCTTGACCTCCCTCTTCGCATGGCTAGTAGGTAGGCTACTGGCTTGGCTGGGCTGGTAGGCAGGCTCTAGGCTTGGGCTTGGGCCTTTTTTGGCTCAGGTCGTGCATGGGCTTGGACCCATGGATCCAAGTCCGGTGCTTGGGCCAATTAGGCTTTGGGCGTATTCAGATGCCCTTCTCCAAGACCGGAAGATCTCCCACCTTAGCTTTATTCATGTCTGGGAGGTGCCTTATTAAAGAGAAAATTACCGGACTTATGACTAAAAGGACATGTCTTTTCGGATATCTGACTTCATGAAGTTTTACTCCTCATGTATCACCCGCACATGCTCATGGCTATGAACGTGCTTTTTTTTTTATCCCCCAAATGCCCTCTTTTCAATTAATGTATGAGCTAATATTATCTCCTAAAATTCAGGAGTGGCTAAACCATTCACGGGCTAGTGGGCATGGATTAAATAAGTGATAACCGTGTTATTAGAGTTTGTTGGGACATGCAACCGAGAGTCAGATGCCTCTGACGATTTTGATCATTTAGACGACTTCTCATGACATGCAACCGAGAGTGATCGCCGTCCTCATATTTCATTCCCCGAAAGAAATTAGAAAATCCAATTTCAATACTGCGATTTGTCGCAAAGCTAATTTCATAACACCGTAAATTGTCTGCTGACCGACAACTTAAACAAGCAACTAAAAATCTACAGAAAATCTCAAAAGAACAAGCGGCGTCACAGCATGATAAGTAGGCCACAATCTAGAGATTTCCCATGCATGGGATTAACTTTTTTTCTTTTCTTTTTGTCTGCTTTTCCTTTGATTTAGTACTTTTATTTTTTCTTCAATGTACTTTTATTTCTTCCCTTCTCGCGTTGTACTTCTATTTTATTTCAATAAAATCTTCTTTAAAAAAAACTAAGATTGTATCGACACATTAATGGAATCTCCTAAAAACAAGGAAGTAACTTATACAAGGTAACTCTACATTATTTTTAATTCATATTCTTCTTTTACACGTTCATCTTTGTTATGCATCCATATTTCATTTCCCAAACGACTAAACCACCTTACTACCCTTTTATCATTTCACTAACCAGCCTACGTGGCTACGTATGTTAATTATTGCTTAACAAAAATGAGATGTCATGCGAATTGTTTTAATGACCAACGTTATTGTATAATAAACGTACTGCCCATCTCTTAGTTTTTACATGTTCTACATAAACTTAGTGCCCATCTGTTAGTTTTTACATGTTCTACACTAAGTTATTGCTCAACCAGTTCAGTTTCTACTTCCTACCCCTTTTGATTTATTCAAAACTAGTACAGTACCCGTGCATACGCACGGGGAAAAACAGTTGGTCTATATATACTTTTATTCAAGATCTAATTGAATATGAAAATAGATTTTTTTTACAATTTACATCATATAAAACACTACATATAAGAGAGAGAATTCTTGCAATCAATTATTAGTCTGACAGGCTCTCTCTTCAGACTGACTTCAGACCGATCAGTCTCTCCACCTTCTTTAGTAAAGTGTGTACAAAAATTCAATCTGACAGGCTCTCTCTTCTTCTTCCAAAAATCATCTCCCAAGAACAGGGGGATTTATGAGAAACAAAGATATCACTGATCACATTCTGCTAGCACAAGAATTGGTTCACTCATTAAAAAAGAAGGTCCGAGGCTCCATCATTTTGATTAAACTAGACATGACCAAAGCATTTGACTTGCTTTCCTAGGAATTTTTGCAAGTCGTCATGCTTAAGTTTGGTTTCTCCTCCACAGTCACCAATATCATTCTCCGTAACCTTAAGGCCACCTTCATTTCAATCCTTATCAATGGGAGCCCTTTTGGTTTCTTTCAACCCCATAGAGGAGTTAAGCAGGGCGACCCCCTCTCCCCCTTCCTTTACATCATAGCCTCAGAAGCATTTTCGAGAGGCCTGAAGCACCTGGTTGAACACGGCTCTATCAAACCATACTGGACCGTTAGGGGGGCACCTATTCTTACCCACCTTGCCTTTGCAGACGACCTCCTAATCTTCATTAATGGGAGTGCTAGGTCTCTTTTATCCTTCAAATCCTTTCTAACGTCCTACCAAGCTGCCTCAGGACAAGCCATTAACTTCTCCAAGAGCACTTTCATCCTGGGCTCCTCCTCTCCTGGCAGAATCCTTGCCACCGAATCCCTGCTCGCTATGCAGAAAGGATCCCTTCCTATTATGTATCTTGGGGTTAACCTGCACCAAGGCATCAATAGACTGAGTTATTGCAAGAAAATCATTCACCACTTCCAAGCAAAATTGAGCCTTTGGTTTAAAAAGAACCTTTCCCAAGCCGGAAGACTTATTCTGATTAAGCATGTTCTCTCCTCCATACCTACTCATACCCTTGTAAGTGATGTTCTGCCCCGAAGTGTTACTCTCATCCTTCATAAAACCATGGCCAACTTCTTCTGGGGAGGTGAAGACAAAAGACATTGGCTTACCTGGAAGGCTCTATGTTACCCTACAAACGAAAGAGGATTGCAGATTAGATCACTTACAGAGGTGGAAAAAGCATTCACGTTAAAGTTGTGGAAATGGAAGTCTAACAACTTCCTTTGGTCTACCTTTATGAACCAAGCTTACAACAGAAACCTTAACATGAACCCTAAGCTTTATGACTCACAAATTTGGAAAAGAATTTGCTCTATTCACTCTACAGCCTCTACCCTTACCTCACAAGATCCTACGCTCAGTTGGTCTCCCTCTAAGGATGGGTTGTTCTCTACCAAGTCTGCCTTTGAAACCGTTAGATCCAAACGCCCTCCAACCTTCTCCTTCAACCTTATTTGGCACAAAAAGCAACATCTCAAGATTAAACTATTTCTTTGGAAGCTATTTAGCTCAATTATTCCCATCCCAGAATCCTTAACTAAACTAAACTTCCATCTCTACCCATCCTTATGCCCTTTTTGTAAAAAGCAGTCAGCCTTCACCAACCACATCTTTCTTCACTGTCAGGCTATCAAGCCCATTTGGATACATTTCATGAACCTTTTTTTGATTCTTATTCCCTCTCACCAGTGTTCTATCACCCAAATGTGCAACTCTTGGTGGTTGTTTAAAGATAATAGCCCCAAACATAGCCTCACCAAGGTCCTCCCAGGAATTATCCTTTGGCACATATGGAAAAAATATGCAGAGCTAACCTGGGATAACTCCCCTACCCCCTTTTCCCTCTTAAAAACCCTATCTGCCATCAACCTCTACACACACCTTTGGTCCCTTAGTCTTCCCAAATTTCAACCCATTCCTACCCCCATATCATCTGATCTGATTCACCCTCTCCTGCGTCCCAAACCCTCCACTCCTCGAATCATTTTATGGACCAAACCTCTGTCCTCCTTTAAACTCAACACGAACGCCTCATTTTTCAATAACACCTCTAAAGGAGGAGCAGTTCTAAGAGATTACCGTGGGAATCTAATTGCAGCTTTATACTTCGAGCAGAACGCTTCGTCCGTCCTTGATGCTGAACTCCAGGCTATCCATACTTCGGTCAATTGGTGTTTAGAGCAAGGCTACTCCGCTTTCCAAGTTGAATCAGACTCACTGGCGGCAATTGCAACGGTGCGGAAGGGTGCCCAGCTTAACAAATGGGGTGGACTGTCTGAGCGCCTTCAATGGGCCATGATTAACTGTGGGCTTGTTTTCTCACACATTCATAGGGAGGCCAACGGCGTCGCTCACGTAATGGCCCATTTGGAATTTAATAATGTCTCGTTCAAATGCTTTTTATCCTTTAATGATCTACCCACGACTGTCAGAAGGGCATTTTTAGATGATCTGTCTAGGACTCCTTTTATTAGACTGTAATTTCTACTTGTTTTTCTTGCTGGATGGGGGCCGGCTTGGTTCCGCTATCCCAATCTGTAATTCAAATCTCTTGTTATAAAATTCGGTAAACGCCTCCCGTCGTTTACCCCACCACTATTGGTGGTTTTTTCGGGCCAATATATATATATATATATATATATATATATATATATATATATATACATATATATATTTATGATACTAATGTATCATATATCTTTATGATACCAGAGTGTCAAAAAAAGTTATGATATTATAACGCCATAATTTTATGTGATATTTTATTGTCATAATTTTGTGACACTAATCTGTTTAGCAACTAGTGACACTAAATTTTGTGTCACTTGCCCCGCTTTTCTGTGACACTTTCAGTGTGTCATTAAATCGTTTAGTGACACTAATTTAGTGTCACTATAAGCCATTTTTTTTACTAGTGATATTCCTGATCCAAATTAGGAAATCTTTATATGTTTACAAATTCCGAAATTATATTTTTACCCTTAGGATGTTTTTAATTAGATTGAATTTATTCCCAAACTAGATCAAACCAGATCAAATTTTAATAATAATACGAGCATAGGACACATAAAATGTAAAACAGACATCTACCAGATAATATTACTTCAGACCAAATCAAACCCGAAAATTTTAATTCAATTAAAAACGTCCTTATTAATGATGTTTGCAATGTGACAAAATAATGAGTAAACTGTAAAAACACCAAGTATTTAAATGTTCAATGTGACGAAATAATGAGTAAAATGAAAGATCTCACTATTAAAATTTAAAAATATGTATTTCATACCAAGATGAATGAGAAATATTAGAAAAATATTAATTTGAATGCTCATCAATAAAGTAATCTAGATGCTCATATGAAACAATGAGTAAAATGTAAAAAACAAAAATCCATTTTTTTGAATTTTCAATGTCATGAAATAATGAGTAAAATGTAAGATCTTACTATTTAAATTTAAAAGTATGTACATTCCATGTTTCATACCACGCTGAATGAGGAAATGAAAAAACAATTGAGGTGCATAGTAAAGCAATTTAGAGGATGTCAGATTAATTATGAAGCTTCTTTGTCAATTCTTTAAAATTGGATTCACAACATTATGTTTTGTTGATATGCTTATGTAGAAATACATTTTAAATATTTTACATATAATTGTTTCTTTATTTTACAAATGGATTTTTTCATGATTTAGGAGATTCTGCCCATTCAGTCCATTCAACTAGAATTTAATCAATTTTAGTAAAATAAGTTGATTCCACCAATTTTAGTATTATCAAACGAACTCTATATTTAGATTGAGTTTATTTTACTTTTGCATCGCATTAATATATGATTCCGAATAAAATCAAATTCAAAAATTAGCTAAATTATGTAGTGCCCGTTCATCGCACGAGCTTGAAACCTAGTTTAATTATAATTGAAAATTTTTGTCTAACAAAATCAAAAAATTATAACAACAACACTCAGTACATAACAATCAAAAATTAAGAAATTAAACAATCAACTAGGAATAAAATCAATTAATAAACAAATCAAATAATCATATTAGACTAATCTACTTCCAAGTGGAATTGTTTTATGAAATTCTGTGAGCATATTTTTCATCAAGTATATATCTTGTTCACAAAATTTCAGCTAAAATTTAATTGGGAAGTAAGTTAGATAAATTATTGAAAAACACTGCATCAAAATATGCAAATAAATAAATAAATAAATGCTGTGTTTTTCAATAATTTTCTTTAACTGATTTTTTGATTGAATTTAAAAGTGAAAATTTGTGAACATAATATACACTTTATACAGAGTATGCCTATAAATTTTGTATAAAAAAAAAATAGCCTGAAGCACCTCAACTAATTTCACCCAAAAATTATTGGTTTAGGCCTCGAAAATCAACCTACTCACACCGCCTAAGGCCGCCCCTGCTCACATTTTATTGCGATCATGTATTCCATTATTAACAATTTGAGTCCGCTTTGATTGGCTATACTATTTATACCTAAAGCTTCTTTACAAACTTCTTTTCTCCTTTTATCTATTTTAAACACATTTTACTTGGATCATGTACACAATGTGAGTTCAGTCCACTGTCTAGCTATACTATTTAATCCTAAAGCTACTTTAGAGACTTCTTTTTTTCCTTTTATCTACATAGGTCTAATATTCCCTCTCGTGATCGAGTCCACTGATCCACTATCGTGACCGAGTCCACTGATTGGGTATAAAAACACATCTCCGGACCTCTAATATATGTAAGATATTAAAATAATTATTCCGATATATTAGGTTTAATTAATTTAATATTACGGTAAGTTTAATTTTAGGAAGAGTTTCCTTTCTAATAGAATTTGAAGAGATTGAGTTTGTGTTTAATTAGGTAACTTGTTTCCTTACCTAATACTCAATGCTCTATATATTCAGTGTAATCGTTTGATTAAATATAGAGGGTGAGAAAGATTGAATAATACACCATTAAAAATAATTTGTTAGTGCCGTGCGTGTGTGTGGCGGCGACACCAAGCACCGGACATATATTTGGCTGGTCGAGTAGGACTTAATTCCAACAATATAATCCAGTCCACTAATTTGAATATATCAACTGGTATTCCCTTTCTGGATCCAATAGGATATTATAAAGTATAAAAAACACATCTCCGGACTTCTATGATATGCACGCCATAGCTTTTCAATTGTATTCTAGTTCTAAAATAAATGGAATTAATTGACATAAGGAAAATGAACGTAACGAAGCGAACAGACCGACCATCACTCCAAATAAGAATCTAACCATGGACGAAAATTGCCAAAGTGAAAAGGGGACATCAAAAAGTACACTAACTATAAATAGCTTGACTTTGAATTGAAAGAAACAAGAGATCTCCTGGAGAAATTTCATTTAATTTATACTCTTTTCATGCACTGATGCGCATGTGGTACTCTAAAGCCAAGTAGCCAACTGTCAAGACCTATCGTTATCCCATTTCCAGGCGATTGCACTCCCAGCAATAACTGTTGTTAAGAAATTGTCAAAAGTATACGAGTAAAAAAATTCTAAAATTAAGTACTTCCTCGTTCTTTTTTAAATGCAACGGTCTACTTTTCACGTTTGTCAAGACACAAGTTTGATCATTAATATTTTTCATATTTTAGTAGTAAAAAAAATGAAATATAGATTACGAAACTTTAAAGGGAAAGTTCCCGAAATGGGACTAAAAAAGTTTGAAAATTTCAAAATAGGGCTGTCATGTTTTTATTCCTAAAATAGGACCAATTACTGCCAAAGTTGGAAAATACTGCCATGTTTGAAGTATGGTACTGCCAAAACATGACAGTAATTAGTCCTATTTTGGGAATAAAAACATGGAAGTCCTATTTTGGAATTTCCAAACTTTTTTAGTCCCATTTTGGGTAATATCTCAACTTCTTTAAAATGAGAGAAATTAACAATATTTTTTTAAAATTTAATTTATAATACATTAATAAATAAAATAGAATCAAAGTAGAACACGTGAATAGTGGAAAAAGTCTAATGTTGCATTTAAAAAAGAATGAAGAGAGTATATGTTATCTCTCAGAATATAATTTAATTAATTAGTCAAGACTAAAAATTGAAACAATAAAAACTCCTCAATGCAAAGTAAGGGTAAATGAGTCAAAGAAAATAATGAGACTCATGCTTGAGGAATTATATATGATTATATGTTATATTTGACTCCTAAATAATATAAAAGATTTTCAACCATTTTTTTCTGAATCCATCAATGAAAGGGTCCTTTTAGAGGTGAGTTTTTTTACAATTCATCAGGCTCCGTTTAGAGGTGAGTTTTTTTCCCACCCACTAGGCTCCGTTTAGTTAGATGTGAGTTTTTTTAGAGATCAAACACTAGCTAGTGTGAATGTGGTTAAAAAACTTATAGGTAATTAAACAAGATCGATGACACGGATCGGAAAGAAAATGAACACCTAGGACTAAAATAGGTAAAGAGAAAAGGCGCAATCACAAAGTAGGCTTACTATAAACCGTTACGAGTATATAACTAGTAGATCATGAAAAAGAAAAGAAAAAATGCCTCGATCGAATAATACTATTTTGTTTGCATGCTAATTTAATTTTTTTTTTTGTAATCCTTAGCTCTAAAGTTTCATTAGGTTCCCAACACCCCTATTAGTACACCACCTGACCACCTCGCACAAGAAACTACTATTTACTTATTGACTTCAGATGCCCTCAAATTCTCCTAAAGTATCACATTAATTATATTTAAAATTATATGTAAAAAATAATAAAAAACGTTAACAGAATTTATTTTTACATCCCAACATTACTTTCTTTTTTTGGATTGTTTCAAAATAAGTGTCATGTTTTGATTCTTTTTTTTAAGAAATATTTGTGGTTCAAATCCACACTTTATTATACCCAATTCTAAAGAATAAGTTTTAATTTTTCAATCACTTTATTAATAATTAGGTCAAAACAAACAAGACACATATAATCACGGGCGGAGCCAGGACACTGGGCCGAACTAGACCGGTACAAAGAATATTTTTGAAAAAAAATTACACGATTTTTTTAAATTTTGGGCTGCACGAGGGCCAGGGCTGACACTCCCCTAGCTACGCCCGTGCATATAATTAAAATGGGATGGAATAGTCTTTGAAGTGCAATAGTACTTATTGTTCTAACTTTCATATCGTAAACATCGAAACTATTATACTCATATTATTTCTAATATAAACAGTTATAATTGTGAAATTTAAAATAAACATATTTGTTAATAGGTAATAACTTGGTAATGGTGATAACGAGTTCACAAGCTCTTGCTAGATCATCTTGAATTGACATGACATAATCCAAAAGGTGCAACATGTGATTTAAATTAAATGCGTCAACCATGTTTTAGGTTAGATCTATTACAAAAAATACGCAAACAATTAAAAAGTACAAAAATTTAATTTTAAAACACAAAATAAATAGTGATTGGAAATATTTTTGGGAATGATTGTTTTTTATTTAAGATAGAATATTATCTCAATTTATTCTTACCATGTTTAGCCTATTTTTTAGATGACCGATCCACATTGATCGGATTACCCTGTATTTAATTCAGCCGATTGGCTCTTGCTCTATACAGAAAACTAGATGAAGTACTCGTGCGATGCACGGGTCTGTCTAGAGAAGAATATTTATCTTGTTAAAAAGTACTACCTGTCCTACTATGTTTGGGACAAAGGAGTGTGACACAACTTTTAAGAAAAAATAGAATTGTGTGGTTAGTATTGAATCGATAAAGTGTGAATAAAGTAAGAATGAATTGTAACCACCCAAATATTTCCAATTATGATATGAGACAAATTTAATGTGAAGGATGAAAAAGGTAAAATGAGACAAAGTTAGGGGGTGCAGAGTAGTACACTCTTCGCACTAAAATTAAATTTCGTGGTCACGGGTTTTAAGGTAGAGTAGGAAATAAAGTTCGCTTTCTAAAAACACCATTAAGTTATTAAAAGATGTAATGCCCTAATGGGTATAGTACAGGGTATAGATGAATAGTGAAATGGAGGTAACAAATATCAATTCAATATAGTTGTTTGACGTTATAATGAATAATAAAAATTTATCAGATATCGAAAGAAATTCAAGTAGAAACTTTATTTTCATACATCCCAAAAGGAAGTGTTGAACTTAAATTCGGGATGGAGGGGTTGCTATATATATTTTTAAATTTAATTATATAATAATGCTAGTTTCAGTACACTATACTATGATAGTGAAAAAATATGATATTATAAATTGAAGTGTTTCCTTTGTTAGTCCCACGAAGTTATGCAAAATAACAGTCATTTTGTAATTACGGAGTAGTAGTTTATAAAAATTCTCATAAATTTGACAACAATTCTTTAATTTGTAGACCACTTTAATGTATTGCTCGACAGGGCCGTTTTTTAGGGGTTTAATAGGTTATCCAGAACAGGGCCCCCAGATTTAAGGGGTCCCATATCTTAAAAAATTATTAGTAATTATATTAATATTAATATAGATACATCATTTTTTCGTTGGTCATTTTACTCTTTTAGTTCTCTTTTAATGAGTATTCCATTGATTTGAGTATAAATATTTCGATTGAGATTTTTTAATAATTTTTTATATTAATTTAGGGCCCCGCTTTTACATTTTGAACCGGGGCCTCCAAATTCTTTAGACGGCCCTGTTGCTCGAATACATAAAAGTAATACAATTCTCTTTACATTTTAACTTTGTGATAGTGGTTTCTAAGACAATTCAATTTACATTTTTTATTCTCTTTTTTACAGGAATTTTCCCTCTATTAATTGCACCAATTTTGTTAATTTATATCAATGTTCTAAAAGGCGCTAGGCACTAGTCGGGCGCCAACACAACGCCTAGCGCCTAGGCGGCTAGGCGGGCGCCTAGGCGGGGATTAATCGAAGACATAAAAATTGTAGTTTTATTAATATTTTGCATAAATATGATTAATAATGTTGTGTTTATGTGTACATAAAATATAAAACACATACATACACACACTAACATGCATGAATGATAAGAGTTTTCACACTTAATAACATATTATACATACTTACTTCTTAACTTCAAGTTATACTACGTAATAATTATTAATAAATAATAATAACACTTACGAATATATATAAGAACATGTATAGCATTTATATTAATCTACAACTAGTAGTTTTCTTCATATATGTTGTTACAGTTAAAGATACATATCTCTTAGAATACTAAAATAAAAAGCAAAATAAAATGTTCGATAAATCTAGATGTCTAGGCGGCCGATTAAGCGCTCTAGGCGGGTAGTTAGGCGCCTTAGGCGGCCGACTAATTCACCTAGGCGCCAAATCAATTAGTCGGAGCGCCTAGACAAAAATCGGGGCGCCCGACTACCGCCTAGCGCCTAGGCGGGGACTAGTCGGGCGCCTAGAGCGATTTTTAGAACCATGATTTATATTGAATAAAGATAAACATATAAATGAATTAGCTTATATAAGAACAATATTACACACCTTCATGTGGTTTAGAATTAACAATATTTTTCTCTCTTCGCTAATTATATCCTTTATAGCAGAACCTAATAGATTTAGGTTGAATTTCATCAAGATTAACTGATCTCACATGTATTGTGAATATAATGATGAAAGACAGAAAATTAAGTATATACGGGGTTTGATGGTGTGAATTGAACTGTTTTGTAGCTACTTATATAGGCAGATTATTCGATCAGGTTTTAGAAAATTAAAATTGGTTCAATAGCCGTATTTTTTAATAAAATTTGGGCACCTTTATTTCGTAGCTGCAATTGCCTTTTTTTTATTGTTTAGCTGCAGTTACTTAGTATGTTTTCTTTTGGACTGAAATTTGCTGGTCTGGTCTAGTCTAGTCTGATCTGGTCTGATCTGATCTGGTAAACGTCTGGTCTCTGTGTATTTTATAACTACGGAAGTCTTGTCTGGTCTGGTCTGATCTGGTCTGTTCTAAGACTGAAAACAATCCAAAAGAAAACATCCTTATACTCGTTACGTAGCATACACTTCGTATAAGGCAATTTGTTTTTTGGTGTTTTGATGGTTTCGTGTAAGCATTCTACATGTATAGTCTACATGTATACTCCGTACGTAGAATACACTTCGTATAAGGCAATTTGTTTTTTTGGTGTTTTGATGGTTTCGGATAAGCATTCTACATGTATAGTCTACCGTCTCTTTTCTTAGGATGTTTTACTTCGACTTGGAGTGTAATTTGCTGGCCTTGTCTGATCTGGTCTGATATGGTGTTCTGAACTGGCCTGGTCTGATCTGATTTCTTTGTATTTTTATAACTATCCAAGTTTGGTCTGGTCTATTTTGGTCTGGTCTGAGACAAATTACCGTCCAAGTAAAAACATCTTTATGCGGCATATTTTTAAGTTCAACACTAATTTTCAATTATGTTTTTTTATTTGGGTGGGAATTTTCCCTTCAATACTTGTAGCAACATTGCTATTTTATACTTCGTATTGTATAAAGATTACTTTTTCGGCGGGAAATTTCCCTCTTAATAATTGTAGCAACTTTGCTACTTTATATTGTATAAAGAAAAGATAAAGATATTATAGGGGGTGTTTGGATCTGATTCTCAAAACTGATTCTGCTTCTTCAGAAAGCAGAAGCAGAAGCTGGAGTGTTTGAGTGAAATTCCAGAAGCACTTCTGGTGCTCTAATTTACTCTCAGGATCAGTTTTTTAGAAGCTTCTGAAAACTGATTCTGATTCTGTTTCTGCTTTAAAAAAAAAGCAGAAGCAGAATCAGTTCCAAACACCCCATATTATACGGAGTATATAGATAAGATTTGTATTACTGTATCGGGAGTAAGTATTCATTAATTTTGTATACATTAAAAAAGAAATATTGATTTAAATTTTTTTAGTATGGCAAGTACTTCCTATGATCTTATATTATCTTTCCAATTTGCAAACAAATTTCATTTGGCTGAATTGTTGCTGAAGTGAGGGTATGTATACATTTATGACCAAACAATTTAGTATTTTTGGTAATTAAATACTTTATGTCAATTTGGCTGTTCATGATGGTGTTATATGGTAATTAAATACTTAATGGAATTTTCCCTCCAATAATTATAGCAATTTTGCTACTTTATACGGAGTCTTACATAAAGATATCATATAAAGATAAAGATATAAAGATTATTACTACCTCCGTGGCTCTGTCCCATAAAATTTTTTCACTTACTACTTTGGGACGTCCCAAAACATTCTTTCCGCTTTTGGCTATCATTCATTTACCTTTTCTTACTCAACCACAACAATAAATTTTCACTTTATTCCGCATTTTTTAAAGCCCGGTTCGAATCAAACTGGGAAGAATTTTTTGGGACGGAGGGAGTATTATTTTTTAGTGATGTGGGGGTGGATTACAATTTTCCAGTAGGATTATCATTGTATATACTACCAAGGACGTTTTTAATTGAGCTGAAATTTCTAGTCAGGTCTAGTGTAAACTGGTCTGGTAAATGTCTGATCTCTTTTTTATTTTAAATCTGATTTGATCTTGTCTGATCTTGTTTGGTCTTGTCTGAGACTGAAAACAGTATAAGTAAAAACATCCCAAGTCATTACTAATATTTTCTATGCATTATGTTGGTATTTTCTCGAATACTATACTACAGGTTCACTTCATCGTGAGAATATGGGCGGGAATATTGTTTAATTTTATGGCCAAATGTTTTCTTTAAAAAAAACGTTAAAACTTAAAAGTAAAGTAGTAAACCATTCATTTAGCCGCTTCATAATATATCTAATATGACTATATATACACTCCGTATCAAATAGCCACTAATTTGTTGGTCATTGATTTGGTAAGAATTATTAATAATTAATGGAGGAAATTTCTATCATTACATGCATACCATATTGAAAGGGCATATCTTTCAGTTTACCATATTTATGGTACGTGTGAATGTGTGATTAATGGAGCAACTTTTATGATATATACGTGTGACTAATGAATTGAAGCTATCATTGATATCACAACTTCAATAATCATACGTATTTCTATATTTTTATATAACAAATTCTGACATTAATTCCTATTATGACCCTAATTTGGGCGGGATTTTTCCCTCCAATTGCTGTGCAGAGTTTGTTATTTTATATTATATAAAGATTTCATCCCTTTATACCTTTTCTTTCTTCCATACATATGTTTTCTATACAAAGTTAATATGGTATCACAGTCAAATCGATCCATGGTGTGTGGCCCGTTATGAAAAATGATGACACGATTAATAAAAAATGACAATTACGGCCGGATGAAAAAAACGGACCGATGAAAAACAAAATGAATGATGGCACGATCCAGACGAAGTGTCTGGTCGTGAGGAAGGGTGTTAAATGTCCACACACAAAAAAATTGGATGAACACAATACTATATTAATATTATAGTTGAGGACCACCCGCTGCTTCGTTCAGAGCCTGATTTTGGCCACTGAATTTCTGCACCTATGTCATCGAACGAAGAAGGATCGATGCCGACAGTGAAGATTGACTATACATCTCCACATTTCTTGGGCCCTCTAGATAGGTTGGGTGATTTTATCACTCCGGTTTGTCTAACGAGTACCAATTGTGATGTGCTCGAACAGCATGAAAAAAGGAGGGAATCCGAGCGTCCTCATCAATTTTTGATGGGAATTTACACAGATTTTTTTGGAGGCGTCCGGTACCAATTGTTGACGCAAACTGAGCTACCAACTCTCAATCGTGCTTACCAGCAGATGACATAAGAAGAACGTGTAAGGGGAATTGTTCATGCGCAGGAGGAACAACCAGAAGTTCTGGGATTCGTGGTTCGTGTTGAAGGAAAAGGTGCAGGCCGAGGGATCAAGACAGATAAAACAGGATTAACTTGCACATATTATAAGTATTCGGGACATGAAATAACGACTTGTTTTGAGCTTAATCGCTATATATCCGGATTGGTGGGGTGATAAACCACGACCAGGAATAAAAAATGGGGGGCGTGGTTGCTCTAATCCTACTGGAACTGCTGGAGTAGGACAAGGGAGGCCAACTGCAAAAGCACACACCGCTGTTGCTGAAACGGCGACTAAGCCGAGCCCAAACATGTTTCTGTCTATATTTTTCAACGAAAAGAGCATTTTTTATAACTCTCAATTGCGTGCAAATGAAATTAATCTTTTCAATATAATTACCTTTACTTAAACAAAAAAGAAAAAAAGAAAAAAAAGAAAATACGCAATGCCTATTTTTATGCATTAAATTTCATATGTGATTTACCATTTTCTTTCCAAAACTAACTACACAAATTCGTAATTTATTTATCTAAAAACGGGTGTACACAATGTTTTAAGATATAAGACCTTCTAGGTTTTAGATTTTTGCAAATTAGTTCTTAGATCTCTTTCTTTAAGAAAACAGTTTAGATTATGTAGTTTTGTGATTGAGGTTACATGTTGTGATTGGTAGCGATCGATTTATTTTTCATTAGAATGAGTTATTAAATGTAATATAATTTTATTAAGTAAAATAAATGTTATTGAACTAAGAAAGGTTTGAATCATTCAGACTTTTATTAAGTGATTTCTACATAAAATGTTAGATGAATTAAATCTATAAAAAGATTCTCATCACATCAAAAGGTAACTATCAAACTGTGCAATAAAAAGAAAGAAAAACGTCACACATGCATTCAGAAGTGAAAAATGAAAAATAAAAAGACAAACACCGTGAGGTATTATATTAAAGTTACATCCATGAGTAAAAAACATTACCCTTTATACACAGTTTAGCTTATTTATCTAGCTCATCACTTTTAATATCAAGATATGGTTGCAACATACGGAGTATGTTATTAACAAAACTTTCAGAAAGCTAAAACTCTTGACCAAAATATATCAAGATTATATTTATATATGCACTAAAGTAAAACAAATATTAACTTTTACTTTCCCAAATGAGATCAAAAAATTGATACCAATTGAAAATATCTGTGATTAGAAATGTGAACATAAATACCATTACAACAAAGGTGTATTTAGCAAATATTAACACATATCATTAACATAAATTTGAGTACAGAGATTAATGAATTTTAGGAATGATTTGAAAGTGATAAGAATCCTTTTGAAACACTGACCTGGCGTATAGAGATAAATGAACTCATTACATAAATTCATACATGAATAAAATAGAAAAATACCTTAAATAGGACTAAAAACGTTTGTATCTTCCAAAATAGGACAATCATGTTTTGTATTCCCTACATATGACTAATTACTGTCATGTTTTGGCAGTACCAAACTTTAAACATGACAGTATTTATCAAGCTTACAATTAACTACTCTTATTTAGAGAATAAAAATATGACAGTCCTATTTTGAAATATTCAAACACTTTTACTCCTCTTTTGGGAATTTTCCCAAATAAATTCATATTCATGATTTTGAAATATTTTTAAGATTTGTTTTCTCAATTAGATTGGAATCAGGCTAGGGAATTATTTTTGAGGTAACTTGTATCATTTTTATAGGCCCTTTTTGTATTTTAACACCAAATCATGTGTCATCTTCTCAAATTTTGGTTACTAATAAATACTTACCCATGAATACTTTACTCAATAAGTTAATTTAATTTTGTATTCACCTAATTAGGATAT